AAAATGAGCTTAGATATATTGACATCTATAGCCAGGCGTTCAGAAAAAAGGTACATATAAAGGTGTACCTCATATTATAATTCAGCTTATTTCTCTTTTAGCTACTGAATTAGAAGATGCGTTAAGCACTGCCATTACCTCAGATAAATAATGGACTGTTACGTTTAGATTGAAAGGAAAGAGGGAAGAAAATATATTTGGTCTTAGTGACAAAATAAAATAACAATAGTAATAATAATAATAATAATAAAGATGAAGAAAGGAAGAAAGAAAATGGTGGAAATGATAACACTCTCTGTTTATCGTATGCTGAAATGGAAAAAAAACCTTGTCAATTTGGAATTTTTTCATTTATATCCTCTTACTTTTTAAATAATGAACTGCATTCATATCTCGGATTATTCTTGTACTATTTTATTTTTTTAATAAGTTTTTAAGCATCAATATTTATCGAGGCAATGGGGGAATTCCCATGGCTATTTGTGAAACTCGCAAGAAGCTTATTTGATAAGACATGAGGTTAATCAGAAAATTCAAATGGGAAAACCGTGAAATTTTCTCAGGTATTTCCAATAATAATAATAATAATAATAATAATAATAATAATAACAGAGATCGTTGACAAGTGGCAAAACATTAAATGAGTAAATTTAATTGATCCTGATGAACGAGATAGATAGATAGATAGATAGATAGATAGATAGATAGATAGATAGATAGATAGATATGAACAGATTGAGATAGATAGATAGATATGAATAGACTGGGATAGATAGATAGATAGATAGATAGATAGATAGATAGATAGATAGATATGAACAGACTGGGATAGATAGATATGAACAGATAGATAGATAGATAGATAGATAGATAGATAGATAGATAGATAGATAGATAGATATGAACAGATTGAGATAGATAGATGTGAACGGGTACTGCTGGTAAATGTAATTGTAATGATTGCATGCATCACAGACACGGAAGCACCTATTTCTATACACGCTTTTTATTTATTTAAATTGGCTCAAGATCATGTCTTAGGACAAACTCATTAACTTGTTCCTTTCTTTTTCTTCAGTTTAGACTTTCCTCAGTTTTAGGAAGATATCTTTTCCTATTTCTATTCAACTTCGGATTTCGGAGCCGCATTTTTTTAGCTTATGTTAAAATACTTTCGAGATATTAAAATTTGTGAATTCAGTTGATGTTGGTGACTTTCGTTGTTCACATCGTGGCGTGTTCCTTTTGCTGACAGCCATACATTCTGTCATCATATAATTGAGGCTTAGTTCTTTTTTCACGCTTTCCTTCACTACTTTCTGTTAGAGTTCTTGTGGTGTCCTTTTTTGTGTTTACTGTCAACATTGTGACATCGACGTTTATGTTGTTAAGCTTATCGACGACAATGATGAATCCCTATAGGACTGCTAGTTTTCTCAAGATCGCCTCATTGTAAAGGTTGAAAAAATCCGTTGAGAATACACACCATTATCTCATTCCTCATTCTATTTTTCTGTATTTACTTAAGTCATTTTCTGTCCAAATGAAGGCGTCTTTTTTCCCAGTATATATTCTGGATTATTGTAATATCCTTCCCAAATAAATGAAGCAGTCCTAACAGTCTGTTGTGACGTACGCTTTTGTATAATCCATAAAACATAGATATAGATCCTTCTTCATTTGAATTCTTTCTGATATCATTTTGAGAAAAAAATATAACATTCCTTGTTCCAGTGTCTTTAATGTACCCGCCCTTTTCTTGTCTGATTCTGCTGCATGTCCCTTCATCAGAATGTGGATGATAAGTTTTTTCTAAGGCTCATTAGGCTGATTGTCCGATGGAGTTCAGATTCGTTTGCATCTGCTTTCTTAGGCAATGCTATGAAAATCATCTTAGACTGCTAGCCTTGTTTGGTGATATAGTTGCCTATTTTTCACAGTTGTTGTGACAGGTATTCAGCTAATATAAAAGAAAAATGCATTAAGATTTTCCAAGTAAAATAGAGTTTTCCACCTTGCAAAATTAACGCCTCATAAGCTTTTTACCATCTAGTCACCCTCTTTTTAATCTTGCGTTTTACAAATATATATATATATATATATATATATATATATAAAGTAGATTTTTCCGTCGATTTCGACGTATGACGGACTACTAGTTTAATTATAAACTGCCCACACAGGTAATTTGATTACAATGGTGAAATCTTATATAGAACCAGTCACACTTTGCGGAAGAACAGAAAAAGCTCACAATGTGCCAGGAATTTTTTAGAAGCATTCTCGCGGGGGCCTCTTCTACAAAGTAAGAGCTCTTTGGAAAAAATGCCTGAATGAGATTTGCTCTTTACATTTGTAACATAGAAGAAATTTTTGAGATTTGACTTTTGAAAGTTGTTTGGGTTGACTTAGCTGTAAAGATCTGAACTGCCAGAAATAAAAAAAAATGCTCATCTGAACATTTTTCCATCGAAATAAAGATAGCGTAGGGATTCGTTTGCAATGTTGCATCTGTAGAAAAGAGCCTATTGTGGAGGAAATGCGTCTCTATACACAAGAACGCATACAAAAATTATGAACTCTATTAAGGATTGAGCAGCGCCAGGGTCAAATATGGCAGCAATACTCGATTTTTAGTCTTGCAACGTTATAGCATGTTAATGAGTTCATATAATTTTGGTACGATGGAATGGGTTTGTAATTTCTCCAGAATCTTTATTAATGAATAATAATTATGATTTCTACTCGAGATCTAGAGTGAATTTAAAACCTTAAGGGTTCAAAGGTTAGAGCCTCACTGAGAACAGAATCACTCAATGACAAGAGAACACGCAGTTTTTGAACAGCGATGTTGATAATTTCAACTGTTTGAGCAAGGTCAGAGGTGAGATCAGTTTCAAGTCTCTGATTACATTATTTTTGGAGGGATTGCGGTATCATCTGCGCAGATGTTTATTAACGATCTAAGAATCTGTATTAATTCTTATTAACTTCAGAATACTGGCCATCGGTAACAACATTCCTTGACCTAACTGATCGAAAGGATTTGACGATTGCATAAACATGATTTGTCATACCCTGTCAAATCAAAAGATGTCAAAGGCAATCGTTCTGGTAAGGAAGCTACCATTGTACACCTAACTCTATTCTGTGGATCGTGACAGTTAAAATATCTACAGGGATTCTAGAGAAACGAGTCTCCATATTGTTTACACTATTTATATGCGGACTATTTTCTCGAGTCAATAAAATGGAACAAAATTTGAAAATTATGACTTAACCGCGTCAATCACATGACCTCACTCCCATTAAAATTAGTGGGAGGTGTATTAAAAAGTAGAATTCAAAGGGAATAACCATTCGAAAAAATCCCAAGAATTTGTAAAGCAGAGATTAAGGGAAGTCGTAATTTTATTGACACCCCCGCCAAAAAAAAAAAACATGATATTGTAGTAAGAAATTGCTTTTAAAGTTCTTATTTTTGTCAAAATAAGAGCAAATATTTTTTTATGAATACGTACTGAAGATGGTCTATAAGACCGAAACGTCCGACGTTGACATTAAACATTAAAACAGGATAATCGCATATTAGGATTTTTGTTTGTTTTTTCAGTATATTTTTCTTCATACTGTCGGATCAATATCCATATATTTGCTTACACACACATATATATATATATATATATATATATATATATATTTGGTTGGATAGATGTGAGTTTGTGACCCTGGGTTTCACGCTTTAGCGATCGTCAGACAAACTGATTAATGTTTTAAAAAATTTGGGTTTATGTAGATTGCGTGTATTGGTGTTATTGTGGAAGTGGTGGGGGAAATTTCGTCGTTTTGTCATTCATCGTACTAACGCAAACATCGATGTATGCAGACACATATACATACTTGGTCGTCCGTCGGGACTCATACATATATATAAACATATGTAGACAGTTTCGGCTATGACACATGTATGTATACGGGTGGTGTTATGTCTATACATACGCATTTGTATGTTGAAATGTTGAAATTTAAACATTGGAAGTGTGGCGGAAATGTCTCGTTTTAAAACATTAATCAGTTTGTCTGACGATCGCTAAAGCGTGAAACCCAGGGTCACAAACTCACATCTATCCAACCAAATATGTTAGCTCTATCTCTGATATTGAGCGCTTTCTAATAAGTACCGCGCATATAATATATAAATAATTATACATATATATATTTATTTATTTATATTTATATACACTTTTCACACACACACACACACACACACACACACACACACACACACACACATATATATATATATATATATATATATATATATATATATATATATATATATATATACATATACACAAGTATAGGATTGGTGTTTACGGAATAAATTCCAATAACACAAAAAATACCAAAATACAATTCTTAAAAAGTGCTCAATAAAAGAGTAGAGCAAATATAATTTATTCGAAAATTATAACATAAATGTTATAAATATACATATATGTTACAACATAACGTAATGTTATATATGCATATATATATATATATATATATATATATATATATATATATATATATATGCAGGTGTAGAGTATATATAATATTTAATGAAGAAGTTTTCACGTATTCGGGTTAGCAATTTATAGTTATGAAATTTGTAATAGTATCGCACTGACCCTGTTTTCAAATTGAATCTCATCTTCTGAAATGGAAAATCAAATTTTCCTTTACCATCTCAAGGTGATATGTTTAATCGCGTTTAGCTATTATCATTCAATCCAATTATTCATCTACCACGAAACAAAGCCTACATTACAGAATAAAAAAAAAAAAAAGATTTTCATATTTCAATGCATAATCTCTTTTGCATACATATTCGACATTTATTATTTTAATGTCTGTATGTTGAGGGCCGCATCAGTAGGTCGCACGTTATATTTAGACGATTATTTGGGGGAGCAGCTAGAAAGCATGTAAGAGATGGGATATCCTCGGGTTATATGATGCAATCTTTAAACGTTAGCCGCCCCAGCAGGCAACTGAACGGAATGCGATGGAGAGGCACCTCAGATAACATGAAAATAGTTTTGTCATTTAAGCTGCCAACTCCCTGGGCGCGAGAAACAGAAACCTCTATTGCGACCTTGGTTTTCAGTTTTCCCAAAATTCTTTGGGTATGGCATTTAAGCCTGAGTTCTGTCCCAGACAATCAGTGACATTCCTTTTAGTCTTCTGGAGATAGTTCTTCACCAGAAGTGACGTATGATTCGAGTAATTGTCATGTTCGAAGACAAAACAATGATTTCGGCTTTTCCCCTCCAAATCGTCTATTTTTCTTTCTCCCTTTCCCTCTTAAAACATCCCCAGTCACTTACATTATTTACATTATTCAGCCTGCTATTCTCATCTTCGCTGCCATATTCACAACGTTTCGGCCCTCGAGGACACATGGCCCAGTGGATAAAGACGTTGGTTAGATCCAGTGACTAGAGCCAAAAAGTTGTGCGTTCAATACCAGGCCACAGCATTGGTGAACCAAAACATAGAGAGTTGAGATAAAGGGAAATAACTGAGCTATCCGGAAGAGGCATGGCACGTGGAACTAGAACAATCAACCCCGGTGGACGAAGTAAAGGGTTCGGTTCGAAATTCCAATCACCTGAAGTGGGTCGGAACGTACAATGGCCAAAACGTTGTGAATATAACACTGAAGATTAGGATAACAGACCGAATAATGTAAATAATATAAGTAATCTTAATTCGTCATCTCAGAGATATAGACAGACATTGATCATCCCCGGTTCTTGACACACTGAAGCTTCCCTCCATGATAATATTCTCACCACAATGTTTCTCTATGATAATAAGTTTCATTGTATTATATTTATGGCATTTCTTGTCTTTTGGTTATCTCTCATAAAGCCTATTCTGATATCTATTTACTCAAGTTTGTTAGGTAAGTTATGCGTACTTTTCCACTGTCGCTCTTGCCTTCAATCTGCCCATTGAGTATCAAATTTTCCAAGCATTCTTTCCTAATTATTCGCTCTAGAAATTTCAACTGTCTCTTTCAAATGTCCTTTTCATTTCCATGTGATCTCTTGTTCAGTCCACGTTATTCTCATCATCCTTCTGTAAAACCACATTTTTTTTTTTTGCTTGGGTCTCTTCTCCATGTGTTTCTTTGTTTTTAACGATATTTTTCAGTTTCTTAATACTTTGCTCAGCTTCTGGAAGGCATCTTTCGCTATCCTAATGCGCTTTCGGATTTCAATGTCGAACACTTCCTACATATTGAAATTTTTGTACTTATTTAATTTTGTCAACTCCAATGTGTAAGTTTTATGTTGGGCTCTTCCTTTTGCTAAGACCATGCATTGACATTTCGTCCTTTTTTCTCGCTTTCCTTCACTTTATTCTATAGGAGTTTTTGTATTTTTCTTTCTGTGTCTGCTATTAACACCTTGCCATATGCACATCTTTTGTTATAATTGTGTCCGCCAATAGTCATCGTAAGAATTCGTATTCTTTCAGAATCACTATTTATTACAACATTTCGGCCGTTGTACGCTCCGGCCTTCTTCAGGTAGTTGGAATGTTGAACTGAACCTTTTATTTCGCTCATTGTGGTAGACTGTTCTAGTTCTACGTGCCATGTCTAATGGATGTCAGTTATCAGTTATCTCCTACTTAATTCCCTCTCCAAGTTCTCCACCGCCCTAACCCGGTGTTAAACTCACACTCTTTGGGTTTGTCACTGGATCTAACTAGCGCCTTTATCCACTGTGCCATAGTGTATATAATACATTATTTCAGAAATATATCAAGTTTTTTTTGGCTAAAGAAAACTCTTCTATAGAAAATGGCATTTTTATTTGCAAGGCCATAATAGCAAGTTTTAAAATAAAGAAATATCAAATATCATTTTTGATTATTTTATTTTACTTATCGGAAACTATTAAACAAGTCAGAAGACGGTTAAAATAGTTTCGTTCGTCTTTTAGTTAGGACGAGCTCCTATTTTGTCACGTGAGCAACAAAGGAAATAATATAAAACAAAGAGAAGTAACGGAAACGACAAGATGACCAACTAAATTTTATAGTAAAAAAAAAGGCGCTATTTACATTATTCGAACTATTGTCCTCATCTTTGGAGCCATATTTATTACAACGTTTCGGCCTTTCAGTATCTGTCTACATTTCTGAGATGAGGTATTATGTAGACTATTTATATTATTCGAACTATTGTCCTCATCTTTGTCGCCATATTTATTACAACGTTTCGGCCTTTCAGTATCTGTCTATATTTCTGAGATGAGGTATTATGTACACTATTTACATTAGTCGAACTATTGTCCTCATCTTTGTCGCCATATTTATTACAACGTTTCGGCCTTTCAGTATCTGTCTATATTTCTAAGATGAGGTATTATGTACACTATTTACATTATTCGAACTATTGTCCTCATCTTTGTCGCCATATTTATTACAACATTTCGGCCTTTCAGTATCTGTCTATATTTCTAAGATGAGTTATTATGTACAGTATTTACATTATTCGGACTATTGTCCTCATCTTTGTCGCCATATTTATTACAACGTTTCGGCCTTTCAGTATCTGTCTATATTTCTAAGATGAGGTATTATGTACACTATTTACATTATTCGGAGTATTGTCCTCATCTTTGTCGCCATGTTTGTCACAACGTTTCGGCCCTTGTACGCCCGGCCTATGTTTAATGAACCTCTCCAGCCAACTCGCTTAATTTTGACGCCAATCAACGAATACGAATAACCGAAAGACCTCTACTTGCAAGGTCATCCGACCAGATTTAAGAGCTCTTTGAAGTCTTTTATCTAAATGACTTAGAACTCGGTCAAATTACATTCATAAAATATTCTCTCATATATATATATATATATATATATATATATATATATATATATAGTTTCCAAAGCCTTTCGTTGGCTCTCTTAAACAGCATACCCCGTATGTCATACATTCATAGTCGCTTGGTATACAACGTTATGCGCAAAACAATAACTCTCCAAAGATTAACTTTTTCTACTTCCACAGTTACAGGCAAAATTTTGAAGTACTATGGTAATTAATATCACCAACCTCCAACATCTTATTATTGTGCTTCTTCAACTGAAGCATGTTATCCATGCCACTATAAATGGCTTCAAAATACTTCCTGCTAAATATCTTACTATGAACTCGTCAGGATTTAAGGAAATGCTCATCACATAAATTGATATAAATCTTAGCTTCTTTCTTCTTTACAGTCTTTATTAAACGGAGGATTAAACCAGGTAATATTCCGCCCTTTTTATGCGGTTTTGCTACTAATTCAATTCAGATGAGCAGACTTTCTTTTTCCATTACTGCCGAAATGTCCCCACTAACACAAACTCTTTTTTTCTTCATGATTGATGGCTGCTTAACTCACCAGATTACTCCAATCACCCACCGATTATTCTCACCAGCTATTTCTTCTTTACCTCATATTTCATTCAATCATTCGATCTTTCTTTCTTTCTTTCTTTCTTTCTTTCTTTCTTTCTTTCTTTCTTTCTTATCATAGCGTAAACAGTTTATAACAGTTTATAACCCGAGATGGTTCGATTTAATCTACAGAAATGATTGAACCATTTAGATCCAAATAAATGTTGGACTGAGAAAAAAAAAAAAAGAGAAAAGAAAAACGAAAAAACTCTTTATGGCTTTTTCTGTATTTCTTATTTTTCTTTCTTTCATTCATTTTTCCTTCTTTCTTCCTTGTTTTCTTTATGTTTTAGTATAATTTTCCGCCTTTCTCTACTTTTGATTTTCCTATTTTTCTTCCTTTTTCGTCTGTCTTTTCTTCTTGTCTATCTTTCTTCTATTTCTTTTACTCTTGCATTTATTTTTTTATTTTCGATCCTGTTTTCTTCTTCATTTTTTATTTTTGTTTTGCCCTGTTTTCTTGTTTCTCTCTTCTCCTATCACTTCGTTTGTCGTTAAATCACTCTCTCTCTCTGTCTCTCTCTCTCTATGTATCTCTCTCTCTCTATGTCTCTCTCTCTCTATGTCTCTCTCTCTATGTCTCTCTTTCTCTTTTATCGCCTTTTCTTTTTCTGTAGCTCCCTTTTTTGTTTATTTCTTATGTTTCATCAGTGATTGTTTTGTTCCTCTTCATTTCATCTTTTTTCATTTTTCACTCTTTATTTTAATGCTTTCTTTTTTTCTCCTATTCTTCTTTTCGTCGCCAGATTTTCGAATTCTTTCCTTTTTCAAAACCTTTTTTTCTCTTTTCAACTTATCATTTCTGTATTTCGTTCGCAGATTTTTCGTCATTTCAAATCTTATTTTCTTTTTTTCAATCGCTTTTTCTCGTTCTTCTTTACGTTTTTCAATTTCCAATTTTATACATTTATAATTTAATTCTCTGAGCAAACATTTTATTATCTTTTTCTTCTTTCAATCATTTGATTTCCAGATATTCTCCGTTTTCAAAATCTCTTTTCTCTTTTCGAACGTTTCTTTCCATATTTGTCCTTTCGTAATTTTCTCTTGCATACTTTTCAAAAGTATCCTTTTCAATTCTTCCCAGTTTTGTCCTTAGATTTTCATAGCCTTTTCTCTTTTCAGAAAATTCTTTTTCAACTTACTCTATCTCTTTCTTCATTTAGTAATTATATTTCGCAAGCCCATTGTCTTGTAAAAGAATCTTTTATTCCCAGCATTTGCCGTTAGTTCATTTAGTCTTTAAGTCCGAAAATTCTTTTCCCTTTCAAAACCTCTTAGTTTTCATTTTCTTTTTCAGTATATTCTTTTACATTTACCAATTTTTTCTTCTTAAAAAACAAAATTCTCACTTATTTTCAACTGTTTAATTTTCGCTCTATTTTTCGTCCCAAAATTATAAAATTCTGACATTTTTCAAAATCTCTTTTCGATTTCTAACCATCACTTCTGTCACTTTTCTCCACCCATTCTTCGTTAGATTTCAAATTCTTTGATCTGTCAAAAACAATTTTACTGTTTTCAACCGATTTTTGATTTCTTACATTCGACCTTAGATTTCATAGGCTTTTACTCTTTCAAAAACTACATTCTTTTAGCAGAAGTTGCTTTATTTCTTCATATACTACACGCATATATATATATATATATATATATATATATATATATATATATATATATATATATATATATGTGTGTGTGTGTGTGTGTAAAAATATATATATATATATATATATATATATATATATATATATGCAGTAACTACACTGAGATTCATCTATCTATCTATCTATCTATCTATCTATCTATCTATCTATCTATATGTATGCATATATGTATGTGTGTGTGTGAAAATTTGATATTATATTCATTATTTTATAGTTCTCTTTATAATTCGAATTCGTTCCTATTTACAAAAATTTTTATTACCAGCTGTGAGGTTCTTTTATATATATATATATATATATATATATATATATATATATATATATATATATATATATATATATATATATATGTATGTATATATATAAATATATATGTATGTATGTATGCATATATATATATATATATATATATATATATATATATATATATATATATATATATATATATATATATATATATGTATGTATATAATTTAAGGCTTAATGTTATAGTTATTTAAATTTTAAAATCCTTTCCTCTCTCCAAACTATTTTCATTTTTTAAATGTTTTTCCTTTTCTAGTTGAGATTTTGATTTTTAAAATAATTTTTCTTTGAGAGCCTTTTTTCTTATTTCACACAAATCATTTTCTTTTTCTTTTCTCGCTCATTTTTTAGAATTCTTTCTGCTTTTAAAAATTCTTTTCTGTTTTCAAACATTTCTTCTTTTCCACCTTGCATTACCAGATTCTTACCTATCTTGGAACTTTCTATTTTCAACATTTTCGTTTTTCTTTCTTATTTTACCAAATTCTTTTCCTTGACTTAAATCTTTTTTCTCTCTTCAACCGATTCATTTTCTTAAATAATCTCCGTATTTCCTTAGCATTTTCGGCCCAAACTGAATTTGCCATTAAAGTTCCTTTGATCTTAAACTTTCTCTTCGGTATTACTTGCACTTTTTCTATATAGCATTAAAAATGGCCAGAAAATGCATCCACGGAAACATTTTTATAAAACGTGGAAACAGGTCCGAATAAATCAATGCGCTAGTTACCTGCATCTGTAAAATAAAAACAAATGAAAAACTTAAAAAAGAAAATGAAAAGACAATAGAAAAGAAAAAAGAGAAAAGAAAAAGAAAGAATAAAGAGAGAGAGAGAGAAGAAAAATTTAAAAAATAACTAAAAATGAAGCAACAAAAGAAATGGCAAAAAATTTAAAAAAAAGACAAAAGAAACGAAAAGAAAAAATAAAAGAAAAAAAAGAAAATAAAAAGAAAAAAAATGGAACAACAAAAAAGCAAAAACACAAAAGATAAAAGAAAAGAAAAAGAAAGAGAAAAGAAAAAATGAATACAAAAAAGGAACAGAAAAAGAAAACATAAAAATCACAAAAGTCAAAAGAAAAGAAAAAGAAATAAAAAAGAAAACAAAGACAAAAGAAAAAATAAAAAAAAACATAATACAAAAAGAGAAGGAAAAAAATGAAAGAAAATGATAAAAAAGAAAAGAAAAAAGAAACGACAAAAGAAACGACAAAAGAAAAAAGAAAATAATGAAAAAAACAAAAGAAAAGAAAAAAACAAAAATGGATAAAAAGAAAAGAAATAAAGGCAAAAACAAAAAGAGAAGCGCCGATGAAAGCAGATAAAATGAACTCTTCAATTTTAGTAATGTTGTTGGGATGCGTAATGAAGACCTCTGTTTCTCGCGCCCAGGGAGTTGGCAGCTTAAATGACAAAACTATTTTCATGTTAACTGAGGTGCCTCTCCATCGCATTCCGTTCAGTTGCCTGCTGGGGCGGCTAACGTTTAAAGATTGCATCATATAACCCGAGGATATCCCATCTCTTACATGCTTTCTAGCTGCTCCCCCAAATAATCGTCTAAATATAACGTGCGACCTACTGAGCAGTTAAGCATTTACAACACGCACGGCATCCTACACACAAACACACACACACACACACACACATATATATATATATATATATATATATATATATATATATATAAAAGCTGATATATTTACATACAGATCTGCTCACAAAAATATGCAGCCATATTCATTTACAAACTTGAATTAAGAATTAAGTAATCTGACACGGAAATAATTTAATTTTATTTGAAATCTGTAATTTTTTTTATCTATGTTGTTAATATACAACTGTAGACGTCCAGCAATTGAAATGTTATTTTTGTGGTAAGATATGCGGGTTCAAAATCAGTTTCATACGACATTTCAAATTGCATGATAATGTACCACCCGCGGTTGGACCTCTTAAGATTAATTATGTGCCTTAACTACAAAGGAAAATATATTGAAAATAAAAAGAATTTGCCCTATTTATATTTGGTGTATTGTTGTACTCAGCGGCCTTCTTCAGGTGTATATCGTCCTGGGTAACCTACAGGGGATTCTGAAATCTTTTATTTAATCTACGGGAGTAGAGAGCTCTCGTCCCACTGCTCATGTTTAGGGATATCTCGCATAGTTCTTGTTTTATTAGGTACGGTTCCCTTATGTTTCTACATGTGTGTGTGTGTGTGTGTATAAAGTAGATATGTTAGTTATTAAAACAAGGAAAAATGAAAGGGTACCAATATAATCAGTACGAAAAACATTTATTGAATATTAATTATTAACCATATGACAGAAATGAAACACGAAAAGAAAGTCTCGCACAGCGAGTAATCGGACAGAGATCGTGTTTTTGCTAATAATGATTTCCACCAAAAAATACACCGTCTACAAAAGCATCTACACTATTTACATTATTCGGACTATTGTCCTCATCTTTGTCGCCATATATGAGGAGAATAGTCCGAATAATTTAAATAATGTACATAATACCTCATCTCAGAAATATAGACAGATACAAAAGCATCTGACGGTAATTAATTCCCATTACTCTTTTTATTTTTCGCCTGGTTGATGAAGGACACAGATATGTCCGAAAATTCCGAACTTAAAACGTTTCTTTCCGTGCTTCATTTCTACCATATGGTTAATAATTAAAATTCAACTAATGTTTATCGTACTGATTATATTGGCACCCTTTCGTTTGTTCATGTTTTATTAACTAACATATCTATATTACGCGCACACACAGACACACACACAGACACACACACAGACAGATACACACAGAGACACACGCAGACACACACAGACACACATATATATGTGTGTGTTAAAACGGGGCATAAATTAACACGAGGTAAACAGTAACAACGCTGATTTAGGGATAAAATTATGATTTCACTCTGCAATGGACTTTTGTGTTATTTTCTCTTAAGTGTTACCGTCCTTTTCTCGCCTCATCATATGAATATCAACGAAAAACAAACGAGGAGGACAGAATATCCCAAATCGACACATGTCAGTAGAATTTCAATTATTTTCTATATTGTGTATTGTAGTAGGACAGTATTATCGTTTTTTAAAACTATTTTCAAATTATCATTTTATGTTTGTTAAAGTTAAATTAAGTAGGATTTGAAGCGTAAATCAGGTACCAGAGTGGTTTCCTTGTCCTAATTTGATTTCTTATAAATTACCGCACAATGTTACATTGTGGCCCACATTCTGTTACTTTTGGCAAAACTGGTTGGATAAAAACGCAACATTTTATAATTTTCTTTTTTCAAGCTAAGTTCTTAAATTAAATGACACCCAGAATAAGCCCTCAGCATATTGTTCACTTAACTCTAATGTTCGTGTACAGCTTGAATAGCCGTGTCTGTCTTAAATTATATGATCGGTATGGTAACTGGAAAAAAAAAGAGAGAGGTACTTTGTGCCCCGCTTTACCATATACATATATATTTTCGTTTCAACTTTGAAAGTGAAGTCTGAAGATCCAGAGAAAAATAAGATTCTCTGGTGAAATAAATTATAACTAATGGAACCTTAAAGTGGTCTGTTTTTCTTTAAATTAAATTATTCGCTCTGACTTAAGATTGAGGTCTCAGGATTTCGTCTTCTTTGGGATTATCCATACGGATTATCAAGATTTTCGTTACTTATATATATATATATATATATATATATATATATATATATATATATATATATATATATATATATGGGCTCAGTACAAAAATAGATCAATATTTTTTATTTTAGTATATTATATCAAAAACACGTAAAAAAAAGTTACACAAATGCAATCATGTTTCGATGCGTATTGACGCATCTCTTCAGGCGTTAGTAAATAAACTGGTGATTAGACAGTTTATTAAGATTTAAAAACACGATACATCCTCTTTTTGCGAGAAAAGGAAGAAAAAGTAAAAGAGTAAAAAAGAAAGACACAAGATACACCTTCTTGTCACAAGATTTGTCAATACGTATCGAAACATGATTGCATTTGTGTAGTGATTTTTTACATTCTTTTTCATGTAATGGCCAAAAATAAAGTATATATATATATATATATATATATATATATATATATATATATATATATATATATATATATATATATGGGTTTATATATGGGTGTTTTTGTGTGTAGAATTCTACATGAATAGAGAGGTTTCCCATTGCCTTTTCCCGCCCAGTATCCCAGACACATATATATATATATTATATATATATATGTCTTACAGGAAGAATAAACATGTATTCATAACTTTGCCAAAGACACTAGTGGATGCAAAGCAAGGTCAAAAAATCCATGAACACCCCACTGATAATAGTTTCACTAACCATTCATCTCCCATTGCCTTTTCCATAATAATTTTTAAAATTCAGACCTTGGGTTAATAATTTCAGAGCAGGACAAATTTAAGCCTATATAGCAAACAGCAGCAACTTTGTTTGAGGGGATACCTGGCATCCCTGAGGATGCGTGGGTGGCAGCGCAGCTTGGAACATCTCATGTGCCGAGGAAAGTGTTGTGTCTGTAAGGTGCGTGTGGGTATTAAGACACGATGAACAACATTGCCCGGCCAAAACATCTAAGGACGGTGAGAATATCAAATATAATAATAAACCTCGTTTCTGTTTATAAATAAACATTTCATCATCTGTTAAAACCTGATAACACAAGGTGGGTGGGTGATTATGCAGTTGATCTAATATGTCAGTAGAACTTAGGTAAGGCTTGCTGTTTCATATTTCAGAGTAAATAATCCTAATTGCGAACTATAAGCCAAAAAAAAAAAAAGAAAAGAAAAGAAAATATAAGCCACATCTTATTGTTAGGTTTACTGCATCTAGTCCTCCATTTTGAACACTTTTATATTCATTGCTCTCAATATTCTGTCTATTTTATTCTTTCGTTCCATCCAACTTCTCTTTGAAAGCAGAGCAAGAATTAGACGCTTATCTGCTTGCAACTAAGTGGCCAGAATAGCTTTCATATCAAGTAAGGACCTTCAGGTTTCCACTATCTTTTTCTTGCTCTATTATAAAGCGTCAACTGCTGAAATGTCGCACGCACACAGTACAATACACGAAAAATAATGTTTTAAAAACATGTAAAATATATGTAAAGCAACTAACGACTCTATAATTGCGGAAAAAGCTAATACGAGGAGTAAGTTAAAAATTGCAAAGTTTATTTAAGAAATATGAGAAGAAAGAATCGTAAAGATGTTAAGATAGGTTAAAATACAACGAACACTACTAACGATTTCTCACTGTATAAAGCTCTCTTCCGTATAACACGCACCGTTATTTTAAAGCTCAATTACATTAAAAAAATGTTTAGAAACGAAAACAAAAAGTATAACAACAGGGTTGAGAGGATATTGGGCCTCAAACTCACACCGGACCTAAAGTGTAACTCTTTATTACTATCCATTGCTAAAGATGCAGGTAAAATGATCGGCTCACTGTACCGCTCCAGTAAGTACCTGACTCCTCATGCTATCCTCTACCATTATAAGAGCCAGATCAGACCGAAAATGGAATACTGTTGCCATATTTGGGCGGGAGCTACCCTGTCCTAACTTTCCAGTCTTGATAGAGTTCATAAGCGTCTTTGAGTCTTTGTGGGAGATTATTAATTTTCCACCCTCCAACCTCTCTCTCACAGGCGGGATGTAGCGAGTCTCTCATTGCTCTATCGCTGCTTCGACAGAAAGTTCTCAGACGAACTACATTCCTTAGTTCCACCAGGTCTAAAGTAGGACCCACCATGCGACTAACATAGTTGCAACCCCGCCGATATTCCCTCCGTATTCCAACGGCGAGAAGTAAGTTTCACTTAAGTACTTTCTTCCTGCGAACCACTAATCTGTGAAACAGGTTCCCAAGCGAATGTTTCTTCGATCGCTACAATCTTAACCTGTTCAAGCCTAGATTTAACCGTTATTTTTCTCTCCTATCCATATAAACGACCCCTCTACCTCCAGTAGCCCCCGGTTCTTGTACAGGGCGAATCTTACTGTAAAAAAGTATACTGTGATGAAAAAAAAAAAAAAAAAAAATTTATTGTAATCATTTCACCCCATACAAGACGATAAAGCCACTAAATCTCAAGTGATTACTGGAAGTGAAAGAGAATTCATTGAGTAGAAAGGGCAATAAAAGAACAGAATACAAGAAGACACGAAATAGAAGTGATGTTGCATTTAAATTTTTGAAGAACATATGTGACAAGAAACAGAAAAACCAGAAGAGATTTCCACAGGCGAGAAGTGCGAGAAAATAGAGCTTACGGTTATATTTAGCTATGATGAGATCTTGTGGCCATTCTAGGAGTACGTTTAAATTAAAAGCGAGCTCATTTGAACAACTGCCATGACAAGTTGGTTCTCCGTGTCATGCCAGAAGGTTTTTCTCGTCTGAGTCCATGCTTCAAATCTACAAAT